TACCCAACCTGGACTGGTATGCACATTTCATCCTACTGTAAACAATTCTAAAACTTACAGTGTTTTAAGTATCTGGTAATGATCAATTCAATTATCGATTTTGGACATTATTGAACCGCCCAATTCGTGTAATTAAAAACAACTCTTTCTTTCAATAAGCCTGTCGTTTTTTCATAATCTCAATTCAGCAGCACTCGCAAGATATAATAATGAAGCTGTTTATCAAACCACAACAATTTTACACGGCAACACAATTAATAACACATTTCTATCGATTTCCATAAAATGCCGTTCAAGTGCGATTTCTTGGACGAAGACATTAATCTGAAATTTAAATAACACAGTGGCTTACCAGAGAATAAACAGGTCATTTTTCTGGACGCATGATGTCATTGATAAAATTCTCAGATCTTTCATCGGTATTTATGAAAAAAGTTTCCATAACATAGAATGAAACAGATCTTATTTTACGGCATACACGTCATGTTTCGCCAATTTGTTTAAATATTGCTTATATGAGGAGTGTATAAAATATTGTGGTTTATACAGGGTGTTTATTAAACATGCGGCATAAAAATCAGGGATTATTCCTTGCGTATTCTAAAATACTTTATTGTGTGATTTTCACTAGACAGTTTTACAAAAACGCAACAAGTGTTTCGCCATACATTGGCTTTCCACATTCAATGCTATATATACCTTATTCTACAATTTGAGGTACCTGAATTTCAAGTACCTGATTTTTTACCTAAGTTTGTAATGAATTTAATTACCTGAGCTTATGTTCCATTTTCCACATTTGAAAAAATATTCAATAACGGAGAGTTATTTAATTCTAATTGATCATTCAGTAAATTATCCGAATTCACGAATCTATTGATTTCTAAACATTCTAGAAGATTGAGTTTCAAACTCTTCTCTGATTGAACTCATGTCCTTCTGCTGATAGGTGGTTTGCAAATGTGGAATTGGTCTTTATATTTATAAAACTGCTTCCATGCTCTTTAATTCTTTGGGAAAATGTTCTTCCAGTTTGGCCAATATACAGTTTTGGACAAGAGCCACAAGTCAGCTTATATACTCCTGATCTATCCAACAACGAAGTTTT